ACGGCATGCAAGGATTATGAGTACACCCCCCCCCCCCCGCCCCTCTCACGTACCCACATATGATACGCACCGATCGTGAAGAAGGTGCGCCACAATTCGTTTTCACTTGCCTGCGCACCTCCTCGATGGCTTACCAATCGTTCCGAAGATTTCCCAACCGCTGTTACAGCAGAACACGCCGACTGGTACCTGCGAGGCGTGATGTATGCATTCGCGATAGTAGTCTGCGGGCAGTTAAACCCCACCACGGTGAATCGACCCTTCTTGTGCGATGGTTTAGGTTCTCCGACGTTGGACCAACGAGTCTCTCTCGCGCACTCAACCACAGCATTACACTCGCCGGACACCCACAGTCACGTGCATCGTATGCACACACCAGCATCAGTCGAACGGCCAGTCTCGGGGGGTAAGACTGGGCCGTAAGACGGCAGGACTGCTGTTGACGCAAAACGCTGAGACTTGAGCCTGCTTCCATTCCCTCTCTCGGGCAGTCGGGCGCGTCCAGAGCTTTGGTGGTGAAGTTTATATATTGCGATCATGGGCACCTAATAACTCTATCAAGACATTGCGCCTAGAGCACAACACATGTTGCATGAAAATCTACTGGTATCTGTACATTCCGAAAGGACTACTTCTTGTCCTCCAAACAAGCGCGCCTTTTGCCCCTCACGTATTCCCAAGTCGCTACATGAAAGTCTAATCCAACCAAAGATCGGCGTGATGATGCTCGATTTATCAGCAACAAGAGACTGACGAAAAGTGCTTTGGCAGATGCAACTGGTCAAGTGTGCATATGTCGCACCCGTTACTCTGCAGCGCTTCGGCATCTCGTCTCAATTGACGAGAGCCAAACTGAGCACGGCTGGCGCCGACCTTTGCCCGAACTACAAATGCAACAACAGCCTGGAGGGCAATTTTCTCATTAGAACTAGAATACTCTGCAACCGGCAACCTCGTCGAACAGCTAACAAAAAGCAAGAGCAATAGGTTAACCTCTTTCCAATAGCAAATACCTGCCCTGCTTGTGACAGATCGTAGCAGGCTCAGGTAGAAAAAATGATTCCCTTACACCCAAGACTCGTTCGCCTGGATGGTGCACTATCCATCCTGCAAGCGAGTGCGCTTTCACTTCAGCATACTTGCAACTACCGACGATGGCGAGCAGACACGATATTCCAAACCAGACCCAACACGGCCGTTAAAAACGAAGAAAACATTAATACAGTATGAGGACGTGAACCACCCAGTAACCACAGTGCTCGGTCCCTTGTATGTACAACAAACAACAAGCAAGCATCGCGGTAGTACAGTATATCCTCGCCACTGGACTACTAGCGGCACCAATGGTATACCTATCCCCCCGCATACACTACATGCCCCCCCCACCCCCGCCCCCCGGGTGAATTCGGTAAGATCAAACTTGGACGTGTTTCATGTGTCACCCCCGATTCGGCCATCGGCATGGTACAGAGGTGGCCCGCCCACGATACTAGGTGGACGGGCCGAAAAGGATACTCTCCGCATCCATTCGCCCGTGCGTCAGGCTAGCGACACACGCGTTGCCGACTCGCAAGGGAATGTTTCGTTTTCGGAGCATCTAAGCGGGTGTACTGAAGATACGGGGAAGCAGAAAACTCAAATATACCACGAGCCGTAAAACTACGGCATAGTCTTCTTGTGGAACTCGCATGGAACAACCGCATAAACCCCCCGTGAGGGATGCTCCATGAATCACCAGCATGGAAAAATCTAGAATGATGCAGACAGCTCATGACATCGTTTAAAAAGCTCGATTTTCTTCCATAATATTACAAAATGTTCCATAATAGTACAAGCTCGAGGCGAGCCATCCTTCCAACACTTGTTCATCACAAATTTAAACGACTCGGTAACGTCGAAGCTGCTAACCTCCCTACGCAGCTGCTTCTCCTGTCGCGCGCTCTAACATTTCTAGTCGCTCTCGCTCTCCGGAGGCAGTTGTGCGTACATCATCTCCAAGCGGAGCACTACCTCTCGTGCATTGGGTCTCTCCCTTGGGTCCCTTTTCCACATGTCCGTGAAGAGCTGCGACACGACGGCGATGGCATCGACGACAAACACAACCAGGTACGATACAAGGTAGAGCCCAAAAAGAAAAACGGGCGACGACCGAAAAATACGTGGTTATGGACGAGAGAATCAAACAAGGGAAAAATCCCTCTCCGCGACAAATCTACAGCACGAACTGCTGTAGAAACAAGTTGTGGAGGGTGTGTGTGTGTGAGGAACGGGAGCCTTTTTGTGTAACCCTCCCCCCGGGTTTGACGATGGAGAGGGGAAAAACTGTTTAAGACACAAAAAAATCCTCCAAGTGTGACTCTTCATCTACCAGAGCGCCCACAATACAGGACGGAGGTATCATTACCGTGTAGGGTATGAAGAAATAAACTAAACCTTCTGAGAAAGCAACGCACATCAGCAACAAGGAAGCAAGTGTTGCACGACAACCTTACCTGCACAAACTCCGGATGCCACGAAGGGTCCACCTTTGGGCGTTCCCCCCTGAGGACCCTCGCCTTGTACTTGTCGTCCCGCTTGAACGGCGGCTTTCTCCCAAGCATGGCCCAGAAGATGTTCCCCAAGCTGTAGATGTCCAGCTTCTCGGTGAGGCCCTGTCGTGGACGAAGAGGAGGAGGGAAAAACAACAACAACAACAACAACAACATCAACAACAACACCGACGATGACGAAGACAGACAGGGGTTGACTAGATGCGCCTCGGGTCTACCACCAGCAACAGCAGCAGCAACAGCGGCGGCAGCAGCAGCAGCAGCAGCAGCAGCAGCAGCAGCAGCAGCGGCAATGTCAACAACAAAAACGAAGCGAGAAAGGGGTTGAGGAGATACGCCACAGGTCCGGCATCCAGCGACCGCAGCAATAGGCGGCAGCTACAAACCAAGGGGCGGAGACGTACGGTGGTTTGTAGCAAGCCCGTCAAAGCAATACCGTATGTGTAGCACAGTCCCGCTTGGTGCTGCCGTTCGGGTTTGGACATATCGTACCAGCGGTTTGGTCGTCGGAATATCAAGCCATGAAAGAGACGAAGGGGGAAAAACACATGCAACACACAAACAGCAGCAGCGTCAACTTGTGTCTAGCCTCAGGTGCTCATAGCTAGACCGCTTGGCGCGCGTACACACTCACGCATGCGTTCAGTAAGGACTTTGTCGAGCAAGCTCGCCGGTAGCGCAGCGCGTGCGATCACTGCTGTTGTTCGCATCAAGTTTGCACAAAAAAAAACTACGCGCCAGTATCGCGCTATCCGACGTGCACATCAGCACGTATACCACAACAGGACAGAAACAGCAGTCCCGATGGCGGAAACTTTTTACGAGCAGTTGACGTACCCCACGAGGGAGCCGTCGTGTCGATGGCTCGCAGTCACTTCAAATCAGCGCTCACAGCACTAGTGCCGTTTACTCCAACCCATGGTCACACAGAAGAGCCCCTCTCTCTACCCTCCCCTCCTGCGGTACTTTGCCTTCGATTTTTAATGCGAGAAGAGTTCAGCACTCCATTCCCTCTGTGTACACACGAACTAGCGCTAACCACTAGGCCAGGAGCGGAAGCGAGAGAAAAACTCACTTTGCAAGAAAAGCTCGCTTACGCCGGGATTCGAACCCCTGACCTGACCTCTAGAAGGTGTCGAGGTTACCAACTAGACCACCGGGGCGATCGGAGCCCTATAATAGAGGCCGACTGTCTGGCGGTATGAACTCCTAGTATAGTGTATGTCAACTGGGCACTCTACGTGAGAAAACGTCTAAGGACGAGGGCACCGACAAGGCGTTGCCACGAAGTGGTCGTCACGTTTCGTCGCACGCCAACAGCTCACGGGTTTCGATGGCTCCACTTCAACTTCCACATAATTATTTGTCAAAAATACTTCGTGTTTTTTGTTGCCAAGCGTGTTCGGAAGCGTGCGGTTGAGAGCGGGTTCTCGGTCGAACATTTTCGGCGCTCCCTCCACGCACTTTCAGCACGACGACCTTGCTCGTCTCTAGCGCTCGAGTGACAACACACGGTTCACGCCTAAGGCCAAGTGCCCCCTTCGCTCGTAAACACGCAACATCTTCTCGACCACCACCTACCCCCCCCAAAGAAAACAGCAGCTGCACCAAACACAGCTCTCACCTCTCCCGCGTACTCCTCCGGCGAGCGCCAGACTCCGTTCCCCTTGCTGATATAGAAGGGACACGGTTCTCCACTAGAGTCCCTTGCCATAAACCGGCAGCGGTTGAGATCGTTCACCTTGACGACGCCGTTCTCGTCCAGCAAGAGCTGCCGGGGCTGCAGGTCCGCGTGAACCACGGGGCCCCCGGGCATCTCGTGCAGGGCCTGTATCCCTCTCGCGGCCTGCAGCGCCATCCGAATGATCTCCCCGATGGAGAGCTCAACCAGCTCTTCCGAGCTGGAGTCATCTCCCATCAGCAGGACGTCCATGTAGTACGGGAAGTACTCCGTGATCATGTCGCACTCGCAGAGTCCCAGGAGGTGGACGATGTTCGGGTGGTCGCTGACCTGGTGCGTCGTTCGGATGGGTTGGCGTCGAATCGAGAGTCACGGAAGCAGGTGGGGCACACAAGCTCCGCGGTATGGGTTCGTGCAACGTGCTCACCCGTGGCGAGAACAATGGCGGACAGCATCAGCGGAAGTCACACACCACCCTTCGGTGTCTTGTTCGTTCGTCCACTTGTGGTCTGTTACCCGTCAAGGACCTCACGAGTACTAGTTGACGCTGGAAAGGTGAATGTATGCGGGCTTATTTATTTTTCACGCCCTGCTGCTGCGCGCCTTTCGAGCATGCTGGCGAGGACGAGCCATCTTCGGGCAGACACTAGACAGCAGTGCTGTGTCCTAGGACACGATTTTCCAAGAGTTCTCCACGTGGGCACATCCCGGCGTTTGGTGCGGTGGAGCCGTCCGCACGTCTCTTTCACTACTGTACAAAAATACAACGTCGAGGGGGCTACGTGAAAACGCACAAGTCTCTTATGGCATCCAAAGAGTTGAACGTCACCCGGTGACATCTTCACGGCCTACATGTAGCCGATAATTCTTTGTCACGAGGTGCATTGTACAAGTGCCCTGGACTGAGGCACTTCCCTGATCTTGAAAGAGTCGTTGCGCACTACCAAATATGTTATCCTTTCATCGACAGACACAAGTGGCCACCGCATCGGTACTATAGCGAATGCCGCTTGGTCTGAACATAGCGCGGCTGGACCGAACCGCGGCACGAAACGGCACAAAGGGAGATACACACAACGGTGATGCGCAGCATACGCAACATGGCATAACACGTCATACGCAACCGAACGTCAAACGTTCTTTTGTGGATAGAGACGGGCAACAAAGAGGAGTTGCAACACACACACAATTCCGCAATACTGCTGTGCCCCAAACAAATCCCTCACCAGGTCTAGCGCCACAGCTTCCCAGCGATGCCGCTCCTTGTTTCGGTCCGTCTCCTCCTGGTCGTCCCTCAGCGTCTTGATTGCCACGTCTTGTCCTTGGTACGTGGCCAGCCGGACCTCTCTCCAGTAACCTTTCCCCAAAAATTCAGTCTTCCCTTCGAGCATTTCCTGGCGCGTTGAGGCGGCCGGCGGACGAGACGATGGCGAGGGCAACGCTAAGCTTAATCGCTGTGGGCGTACGACGTATGGTCCAGTGATACTGGAGACAGGAGGTTGGTACTGAGTCTTGCCTTACGCCAGTTCCTTGGGTAGGGACTCTCCCAGAGGTGTGCGTTGCATGCCAAAACCTTGTTGGCAGGCGTGGGTAGCAGGGCGACAAGTGAAAAAATCGATCCATGCAGACTCGATGTAATTAAGCGGTGTTCATGGAGTAGCATCCCACCAAAGAGCAACGTTGTTTGAACAGAACTACAAAACGCCTCTCAAATTATGGAAAGCTTCCTGAGCGGTTCAACAGCAGTCTCGCGATATTGATCGGGCGGATTATTATAGACTCCGAAGGGAGGAAGGTAGTACGCCCGCGATTTTGACTTCGACCTATATACCTTAAAGAGAGTAAACGCCGACATCGTGTGGATATCCAACTCATGGTATCCTTGCGATTTCTTTGAGCACATTGGGTTTCGGGACATCGATATCTGAAACCTGTACAAGACGTGCTAAATGTATGCGCCAAAGTTCTCACACCATCCGCGGCATCACACAGCCAGAAAAGTCGAAACGCAAAATCTAATACTCATACATAGTTCAAGAACCCGTGCGGACTTTTTGTCCGTTGGAGGCGAAGTCAAAGGTTTTCACTGCTTCTTCTTACTTTCAGGGCCCTAACTACGGCTCTTGAGATTGAGATTTGTATACTGCTGATACTTGGTTTTGGATATCCAGCCAAACCTCTCCATGGTCCCATGGCCGACGAAACATCGACGGCAAGCGTTAGATTGACGAGACATACGCATATGTTAAGGGCGCACGGGGAATCGCAGCAGGGTCTCCTCTTCAAAATCCAGGAAACGCCTGCATATTGCAGTTTTCCAAAGTCTAACTCCAGTACGAATCTACGTAACCGTACGCTCACCCGCCCTCGTGTACAATGTCAGTATCTGAGATTGTAGCCCTTGCGATACACTGCAGATTAGCGGTCGGGTATTTTCTAAACGATCCTTCTGTCATCGAGATCGGTGAGCTACAAGCGGGATTCTTGAAGCTGCTGTGCGGTCCAATTTTGGGACGTTTCAAGCACCGTTGCTTTGGCTAGACCCACAATACACATGACCCCAGGCATTCAAATCGACTACAATATGGCCACGAGTAGGACACGCGAGGGAAGCGCTGCGCTGACGTTCGCGGCCCCACACGCTCGCAAAAGGCACTGATTCGCCGTTACAATACTGTGTGCTTGAAACTTTTCAAAATCGGACCGCACAGCAGCATAAAAAATCCTGCTTGTAGCTCACCGATCTGGATGATAGAAGGATCGTTTGGACAATCGCTGGCCGCTACAAGTAGTCTGCAGTGTATCGCAAGGGCTACAATCTCAGATACTAACATTGTACACAGAGCGACCGCTGTGGACGGTTAATTTGCGATGGAAGTTTCGTACTGGAGTTAGACTTTGGGGAACTGAGATATGCAGGAGTTCCCTGGATGTTTGAAGAGGAGACACTGCTATCCCCCCCGCGCCCTTAAGCCTGTACACATGCATGCATACGAAAATACAAAATTCGGGGTCTTCGAGAGTCAACAGCAGGAACACGGCAATTGTTGTTGTTGTTGTTGGTGTTGTTGTTGTCTTCGCACTAAAAACCGTTCCGATATCTCTCTACAGAGTACCTTCATATGTCCGTACTGATCCAACGCTTGACGCGGTCGATTCCCGTGGTCACAGGTTAACTTACCCTGAAAAGGTACACTCAAATGAACTGGCCCCGAGGGGTCCGCAAGTCAATAGAAATCAACGACAGATATTCTGGAGTCCTCCGCTCCCTCTGACACCTTTTTTTTTTTTTTTTGTCTTCACTTCAAATCAGCGCTCACAGCACTAAATAGTGCCGTTCACTCTAACCCGTGGTCACACAGAAGAGCCCCTCTCTACGCTCCCCTCCTGCGGTACTTTGCCTTCGATTTCTAATGCGAGAAGAGTTCAGCACTCTCTTTGCAAGAAAAGCTCGCTTACGCCGGGATTCGAACCCCTGACCTGACCTCTAGAAGAGGATACTAACTAGACCACCGGGGCGACCGGATCCATGGACAATCACGGATCGCGTGTCGCGAGTCGCGAGCATAACCACACGTCTAACATTAGTGTCTGCTGAAGGGCATGCTCCGTGTGCGCGGCAGCGAGTTATTTACCCCGGTTCGCGAGGATGCCAACACTGATGCACTGCTGTTCCCAAGTGCATCTCGATGTTTCGGAACACACTTCCGACCAACGTATATATGCATGCACCGCCGTAACTTACCCGTCCGTCCTGCAGTCATGTGTGTGTGTGCTGGATTCGATCCTCTACATGTATGCGTGTATGCATATGGGCGAAGTCCATCCGGCCATGGGCAATCAGTAGCCAGGACCAAGACCGTCCAATACTACTGCTGTACATGGGTAGTTGAGCTCTTCGTTTACACGACGGGCATCAAGACAGACAGCGACGGCGTGTTCTTGTCCGTACCGCGTACCCAGCCCCCATTGACCCTCCACTTAGCGGTATAACACGAAGAAAAGGAACTCGAACCCCCCGCCCGCCGGCGTGGCTTGCGCGAGAGATCTCCAAACCTGAGAACCAGTCGGCAATCAACCGGTTTCACTGACAGATGTGGCGCAAGATGGTGTCCTGTTCTCTCTCTCTCTCGCTTTCTCACCTCCATCTCCGCACAGCCGTACACCGGGAAGGCATCCTTCTCTTGCAAGGGGCTCGCGGTGCACCCCGCCTGCACGTGCTTGTGGCTATGGCGCTTATGTCTGCTGCCCTTGTCCTCGTGCTTGTGCTTCTTCTTGCTGTCCCTGGCGACAGACTCCCCCCGACCCCAGCCTAGGCTCGATGCAGTCATCGCTTCGCCTCCGCCGCTCGCCGGAGAAAACGCGTACATCGCAATGAGCCAGACGGCGAGAAGCGCAACCGCCGCGGCGGCTAGTCTCGCGAGAGTTCCCCCGTTGTAACGGGTTATCTTCCCGCCATGCTTATCGTAGTCACCGTTCAGCAGGCCCGCGCTTCGAGGCGGGGCACGGGCTCTCATGTCAAGAGCAAGAAGAGAGGCAGAGAGATCGAGAGGTTGAGTGTCTAGCAGGCAGGGCCTGGTAATTTACATCCGCACCATGTGTGATCTGGTTTCGTCGAGGTGAGGGGCTCCGTGAATCATTAGATAAAAACTGACCGGTATGGACTGGCGTCTCTGTGCAATCACTCTTCACCTGTCACAGCAGCAGTCTTTGTCTTGCAACGACCGAGCCATGGCGACGAGAGCTCCCGCTGATATCGACGAGACTGAAGCTTCACCATCGATATTTCAGGTGCTGGTCCAAAGAGAGAGACCACTGGTGCTCAGAAACGCTGCAAGGTCTTGGAAAGGTCAACCCATTCTGGAGGTGAGAAATGGTCTCTCTGTAAGCAAGTGATTTACACTATTCCACCTGCACGGCAGCAAAATGTAGTATACCAGTACAAGCAGTGGCAGTCCGTAAAGCTTGAAGCACACTACCACAGCAGCAGTAGATACCTGTGAAAATGCCCGTGTAGTTTGATGGCAATTTAGATGGGATATCAACATCCACTCACGTGCTCCACAGCAGTCCTACAAAGCATACAGCCGCACACTATGTAGATACATATGAAACAATGAAACGTGTGTTTGTGGCAATTTATGTACCACTTGATGTGTAGGTGTGGCACCAACACGAGTGCTCCACAGCAGTCCTCCTGTCGAGGGAGCCCGCGGAGTAAACACATTTAGATACCTTTTTATTTGTTGGAACTGGTTTGTGCCGCTGATAGACCGACGTCCTCGTTGGTCAGCAGGTTAGCGCCGTCGATGTGAGTTATTAAGAACTACGTAGAAAAGCATCTGAACATACCCAAACGTCCATGACACAGCACAGCAGCAATATTTTCATTGGTCAGCCGGTAGGCGCGGTCATCGACGCAACATTTGCATTACAAACAAAGTCTGAACATGCACATAATCCTGAGACTGGACCATTTCGTCCAGTCTCCTTGGCACCTCTCTGTCGGATGAGCCCGCTACCTAGTTCGCGTTTTGCGTCGCTGTGTCGCTGTGTCGCTGTAGACGGCTCAGCTCTTTTCATTGGCCAGCCGGTTAGAGCGATCGATGACTGCTAAAGAAGCACATACACAACACAGGGGAGGCCGAGGGCATGGGTTGGAAAGCTCTTCGATCCTGCTGTAATACGAAGTCCAATTGCGGTGCTCGCGCCGTCAAATCAACCCATGCTGGCGGTAGCAATGGTGGATCAGCCTTTGTCATGTCACCTCGAAGCAGTGCGCACACCCTCGTAGATTACCGTAAGAGTCGGAGAGATGGCACCCCCGTGTTAGCGTTTTTGTATAGCGTATTTCTCCACAACCACGGGGGTACCAGTGCCGAAAAGGGTAGTTTTGGAACCATCTCGTCGAGAGCTTTCCTGAGAGGTATCGGTTGGTGTTCGCACCCTTCTAGTTGTGGAGAAATACGATACAAAAAAACGCTAAACGGGGGTGCCATCTCTCCGACTCTTACGGTAATGCATCGACCGGCTGGTTGTTGGCAACACAAGATTCATATCGCTGATTCGCTTTTCGTGCTTACGCCTGTCCTTCGTGCTTTCTATTATCGGTCGTTCTGCGACATGTGCAGTAGAACCCTCGTGTCAAGCGCCTAAGGACAACATGGCGGATTCATCCGCTGGGTGTCAGCACGGTGTGGGAGGCAGACTGCATCTTCCTGGAAGCCTCTGTAGGCCAGTTTCTGGAGTGGGAGAAGTCGGCCGAACCGCTCTCTGCAGAGGGTGATAACCCTTTCAGACACTACGATCGGTGAGATACTGACGTACTGTAGTTTCGTCGAAAACACCCTTTTTTTATGCTGCCCTCTTTTCACTTGTGATTTTCTCAGCGCTGAGAGGGCGCGTCCTGCCGGCAAATGCGACTGAGTTGGTGCAAAAGTCGGCAACTTGCCCCCACCGAGCACCGCCATCCCCGCCCCGTTTGCTTACGCCTGGTCCTGTTTCGTCTCAGGAATGCTCACTGGTCGTACGCGGACTACAAGCACTTGAAGGTAGGTTCGACGCGTCATTCCAACGGGCGATGCTACTGTACGTGTTGATCGGCTTGTCTGGCGGGTGTCCTAAAACGTCGTGGTAATACAGCACTGACAAGAAGCATTCATTCACTGGTGCAGGCGAGACGATAAGACTCACCGCTCGCAGTTTGCTGCTACGACGTTGCTGCCCCACCCGTTAAGGAGCTCGAAGATGATTGGGCGAAGGCTCTAGAACCGATTATTGATTGGTCGACCCTGGGCTGCGAGAAAGCTGCGACGGACTCCACACTGTGGTTGGGCACGGGGGGCTCTCACACGCCTCTCCACTTTGACACCTATGGCGTCAATCTGGTGAGGCGGCGTAACTAGACTACTCTTGCACCGTACCAGTGTGCCTCGCATGTGACGTCAACCCCCTTCGCCGGCCAGCTCCCTGGCATAGATGTGCCTTGGTGGCGTACACGTTGAAGGACTGGACGCTTGCGTTTCGGCTCATGCTACTGTAGTAGAGGTTCCTGTCTAAGGCCGCTATGGTCCAAGGGAAAAACACCGGCCTTATATCGGGCACCCGGCACTATTCAGAATATGAGAAAACTTGAATACAATTCCATCTGTGCCAAGGATTTCTTAATCTGTGCAACCGGCCTAAAAAGTGGCCTGTACTGTACATGAGGATACAAACGTCGATGTGTCGGGTCTAAAAAAATATGCTTCACGCTGGATGCCCAGGTGGCCCAACTGCACGGCAGAAAAAAATGGCTCCTCTACCCTCCAGCTGACACAACGGCCCTTGCGCCTACCCGGATACCGTACGAAGAGAGCAGTGTCTTCAGCCAGGTGGACGCCAGAGCGCCAGACCTTGTCAGGTGGGCTCTGAGGCCGTCGTGGGAAGCGTGTTGTGTGTAAACGCGGAGTGTTCCGCACAATGTACTGCCATCGGGCGCTTCGCTGATATGCGTGCAATGTTTGGGGCGGCGCAAGAGTCTTTGCTACGGCGAATCAATAGTGTTCTCGGTTTGCGGTCCACTGGTGGATGCCCGTATGTGTCGTTTCGGGTCGGTGTGCTTTGTCCGTAGTGGTGGGACTTTTTACTATGGCTCACAGCACGTGCACTTCCCCCTGTCGACAAATCCTCCTCGCAAGGTTTCCTCAGTTTGCAGAGGCGCATCCGCTGGCGGTTACGCTTGAGCCAGGAGATGTCCTTTTCGTCCCGAAGCACTGGTGGCACTTTGTGGAGGCGACAGACACTTCGCTGAGTGTAAACGTTTGGGTTGACACCCCCAATGATTCGGAAGACCGTGCCAAAGAGAGTGTGGCGCGTGTGCTCATGACATCTCTTGCGGGCGGACTTGATGCCGAGGTATGTGGTAATATTTGCCAGAGTGCGTGCGCAGGTGCACAAGATGGCCTCGTCACCCTGCCAGTTGTTTTGGTAAAAAACGGGTGACCATACCGCTTCACATGCGGAGAGTCTTCCACTCAACACAATCGCGGGTGGAATGCGTACGGAGTACATATTTGCCGTTCCACTTCGTTTTGATGCCGAACATTTACTTGCTTTTGTTTTCAGGTTGGTCCGGGTTGGCTGAATCCTACGGAACAAGCGGTGTGGCCTATTGAGGAGACGCTGGCGGTTGCCAGCCTGGCTTTCCAAGGGCTGAATGCCCACCCGGAAGAAGAATCAAGTGATCACGGTGCGTGTTGTCCATGTCGCTACCGTGGTTGAAACAGCAGTTTGGAAAATCAAGCCAAGCGCATCTCTCCATTCTCCCCAGCTCTTTTTTTTTTTGTGTGTTTTCTTGCCGACACCACCCCTGAACTTCACAGAAGTGATTGCTAACGAATTCCGTCTGCGCGCTTACCGACCGTGAATTCCAGAAAATGGCGCCGCAGGGGCAAGGGCGGGCGGCGATTTTTCTGTGAGGGCGATGGCGGACGCCATCACGGCACCAGATGTGCTGCAAATGGTCTTCGAGAGGATAGCTCAGAAAAGAAGGATAGCATAGCCGGCTTGGATCCCTCGAGAGATGAACCAAAAGGACAACTGTGCTTGCTTGTTTCAGACCATCTCGCAACGGGCACAGACTAATGTTTTTTCCCTCCCCTGTCTTGCTGTCTTGCAAGCCAGTGTAGAAATCAGCAACATGGAACATGGATCGAAGCTTACATGCCCTTCCCCCCCTTGGCCCCGCAGTTTCCCATGTCACAAAAACGAGCGATCACCAAATACAAAGCACACCAGTGAAGAAGGGCAACCCAGTCGTGGGCAGCTTTACCACCACCACCAAAAGTCTTGCTTGATCGTCTTTCGAACACCCGGTCGACTGCTGGCCGACGCGTACCACGCCTCTAGCCGTTTGCACTCGCTCGGAAAACCAAACTCCCCATGAACGCGCTGCAAGAAAGGGAAGGCCGAAGCGTCTGCCGCTGTGAACTCGCTCGCTCGTTCCGGTCCGTTCGAAAGGCATGCCTCCAGGTCTTGGAGCACGGCGTTTAGGCTATTCCGATCCGTCTCGGAGCCTCCTGAAAAAACTGCTCGCTTGCCAGCTGACTTCAATCGATCATTCACGATCGAGCGCCATCGTAAGGCCTCCGGACTGAGCTCACCCGGCATGAGAAAGTCTACGGTTTCCTCCGATCCTACGATGGGTTTTCCGTCAACCACAAGGACAGGAACCTCTCCTTTGGGGTTGAGGTCCATGAACCAAGACGGTTTACCTGTGGGGTTGTCGAACGTATGATGATCGGGACGGAGTGTCAGGTTCTTCGCGTGCGAGCTGTGTTTGGTCACACGCCGCGGAACGTAGTAGGTGGTACGAGGTTTTGAGAGTTTACGTCCCTCGCAAACATGCCGGCAGGTACAGAAGGATGTTGAACCAGGCTCACCTCCGGATCCGTAGAGAGAAACTTCCTTCATCTCGTAAGCGGTGTGGGATTCTTCAAGAGCGATCCAAGTTCCTGTCCACGCGGAGTCAAACTGCTGTTCATGTTGCTCATTCATGGATTGTTGCCAGCAGAAGAGACGTGCTCCACGAAGCCGCACCGCATATGCCATACATCACGCGGGTTGGGTATGGCCATCCACAAAGCAAAGCAGATCAATCATCATGTGTGTAAACAACACCCTCTTGCGCATTGTCGTATGGAATGCCGGCATATGAAGACACTACTTCGTAGATGACAATCATCATGAACCGGAGACAACTTACTCTGGGCATATGGACACTTCTGGTTCGTGACAAACTGAACATTGGCGGCCATTCTCAAAGTCGATTGCCACGCCAAGGAGCTCCGGCAGATCAAAGCAGCGGCAAGGCTCGTGGACGCTTTCATTTAAGACCGTGCGGTGGGGTCGTGCTACACAGCAGTACAGCGCTGTGGTATTGGCAAGCGCCGGGGTGGTGACGACAACTGCGGCGCGAACCCTTCTTTCCATAGCGGGTAGTGAACCGAACCATGTATTCACGGAGCCCCCTAACTCGAGTCGTGTTGCTTGACAGCTCTGCAAAGCAACGATCTCTGCTACGGCCCTACTGCTGCTCTGACACTGCTGTGATCAGCTTCCCGGACGTCGGTGTTGGACTCTCTTCTCTACCTCGACGACCAACCCGGATTCACCGTTGACCAACCAAATTCAACTTCTACAGCAATCTACAGCAGTTCTGAGGCATTTGCACGTCCTCTCTAAGCAAGCACCTGCAGCAGGAATGGCAGGCATCATGGGAGGAGGCTGGAAGTGGCTGCGGGTTTTGGTGCTCTTTCATGTTCTCGCGAGAGCGTCGGCGGGCGGGACAGTTTCGATCAATATCAAAGACCTGGGCGCTATCGAAGGGATCCAATCGCTGGACATCCGAGGTTCGAAGCAATTGGCCTGACTGCTACGGTCATGTTGCAATGGACTTCCTATTAATAGTTAGCTGAAAAGAGAACCGCCCTGTCTCAAAGTAATAGCGGCAAAGCGCTGTGAAAATGCATGGTATGCGGCCAACGCATTACAAGTGGAAGCTACAACGTATGCGTACACATCTGTTCAACTGCTGCTGCAACTTTATGCGGTGTGTTCTGGACCACGGCGTGTGGGTTGGCGGAGTGAAACATCGAAAGAGCAGTTAGTTGTCTGCGCACGATGTGCGGTTCGTGCATTACAGCAAGAAAAGCAGACGGTGCTTCGCGTTAGGCGGAGCTTGATCGTAATCATGTGATCGTCGTGAGGAGAGGCCACCAAAATTGAATCATCACAACTTGTCCTCCTGTTGGCACGCTTTTTCTCGTTAGGGAACTATGACGGGCAACTCTCCAAGGGCGTCAGTGGCAAGGCTTCGTACGTGTTCAACAAGGATCGCGTCTTGCCGGCTGGGCTAAGGTGCCGTCCCCTATGCCTCGCATCCCGCTTCCCGCATGTCTTTTCCTGATGACAGCTGTTCAAGAATTAGTACCCAATAAATGTGTTTACACCGCCTGTGCTGAGTCCAAGCTATCTGGCGCGCGATATGCGTCCATAATCACTTGCGTAGAGTCATCTAATTCCTGCATAACTGCTGTACGATACAGCAGTATTGATGATTTTCCGAGGAGGCGCTGAAACAAGTCGCCTCTGGTGGGCCTCCCTTTTTTGTCCTTGCTGCAGCGCGTCATCGAGCACGGACACCGCGTACGGAAAAGCCTTCGGGACGGTAACCGTTGACCCTCAGGTGATTTGTCCCAACCCGCCTTCATTCGACACTTTTGTTTATAGCTGCCGGTACAGCAAAAGAACTACGCGTGTTGCTCGGTACCCCAGGTAGCCTACATCCATGAGATTAGCAACTGCTGAAAGGGACGATTTTAGGGTAGCAAATGACACGCGTTGTGAATCGTACCATAGGTCCGACATGCAGCAGCAAGAACCGGGGGGGTTGGATCTACAGTTTCACTACAGTCCCCCCGATATGGCTTCACGCTCAATAACATCTGCTTTCGTCCTTGTATCCCTGCCCCGACTGTCGTTTACGACTGCCGCAGGACAAGACGGCCGTAGTGGAAGGATCGATCCGGAACGAGGAGCTCGGGATGTTTTCGACGACTTTGAAGGCCAGCGAGAAGGTGAGCACTGCCGACGTCGTGCATGCGCCTTCTGCCTGACCACAGAACATGGCAACCGGTTGTCGCTTCTCCCCTGCCGACAATGACTGCTGTTGTGCCTTCGTGCTTGGCATGCTCTGAGCAAGTATGCTGTGGTATACCCTGCGCATGAACCATGCCTTCGCAACAGCAATGCAGCAGTAGCACTAGCGTGTGCACCCTGAAATCCTCACCCTTTGTCCAACATTCTGCAAGGTCGTTGAGAGGCATAAACAATAGTCGTGTTTGTGGCGCCACGGGCAGGGACCCTGGCCTTACCTCCACCGAGAAGTTGAACTTCAAAACCCATCGACAATGCTCTTCTTAGTCCCCTAGTTTTGTTTTTCGTGTCCCAAAAACACTCGTCAGGAGGGCGGCGTGCTTGGCCCGTTGAAGTGGACAAGCAACCCGGTGTCGTTTCCCTTCGCCTTGCAAGAAGCCACCCCCATGGTGATCGCCATTGCTCACGACATCAACACGAAGGAGGGCCACCTTAGCATCGCGGCCAAGCTTAATAGCAACTTCGACGGGAAGCTGATGCTCCCTTCTCAGGGAGATCCGGTCGCAACATTGGTTGGGTCGCACAGGTAAACGTCTGCGTGTGTCAATGTGTCCAGCAGCTGCAGCAGCAGTGTTTTGTGATGTGAATTTAGAGTTGTCTATGCAATTGGGTGCGTGCCCCGTACCACCGAAAACTGGTTTCCTTGGTATTTCTCGGAACGCTAGCACCTCGCCAATGGGGCAGATGGGTATACTGCTGCCGCTTTGAAACGGCGGCAGATTCTCCTGCCATCAGCATCACCAAGGGAACATCCAGATGTGTCGTGTGTTGTGGATCGAAGCCAAAGCCGTCCGCCAAGATTTCCGCACCCCGACGGGTATTTTGTCTCGGCAAACAGCAGTGGCAGAACCAGAAGCACGCAGTAGACATGGTGGTGCTGGCACCTCTTTACTCGGCAGCCGTACGCGTGTGTGTTCTTCGTTTGTGCGACCCACAGCCCGGACAAGGCTTCGGACATCCGGGCTTCCGCGAACGTGCTGGACTTGGTGGGGTCGGGATTCGGCAAGGGGGCGATCGGCGTAACATACCGACGCGACTTGGACGCTGTTGCGGTGAGAGATGAAAGCTTCTACATGGATGTGACAGACATTAGGGAGGCGAGGTTTAGTGCAGACGAGGGGCTTGAGGTGTTGGGGATGGTGGATTGTGGCAGCAGATGTTTCGAGACTGGCCGGCCTGAGTGTAGATAGAACCGTGTTGTTGTTCGCGAGCTGTTCGCGACGACTGCGGCCCTCTTGCCGTGTTGTACCCAATCTAGAACCGTGATGGCATCTTTGATATATCTAGCTGTTTAACCGCTCGGAATTTGTTCACACTCGTTGCGGCGATCTGTCCTTGGTCACCCTGATTGGAGCAGCCGCGCCCGTGTTCTCCTTTCCTCGGCCGACACACGCCCCAACTCCATCGGCAGGGATCGAGCTCGAGGGTAACGCTCGAAGGGAAGGACACCGGTGACTTTGCGTGGAGCCTCAGCAACACCTCAAAGCGAATGACGCTAGTGCTTTCCGGCAGGGGCCGAGTTGCCCGGAGAGGCGAGGGCACCGGAGTAGGGAGTACGGTCTCCCTCAGGCAGAGCTTTCGGATGTTTTAGACTGACACACGCCCTCAATCGGCAGGGATCAAGCTCGAGGGTAACACTCGAAGGGAAGAACACTGGTGACCTTGCGTGGAGCCTGAGCAACACCTCAAAGCGAATTACGCTAGTGCTGTCCGGCAGGGGCCGAGTTGCCCGGAGAGGCGCGGGCACCGGATTAGCGAGCACGGTCTCCCTCAGGCAGAGCTTCCGGATGTTTTAACCTGCTTAGATCCCTCCGACAAACGCCCGCTCTGTTTCGCATGGTAGTGCGGTGCCCAATGTTCGGCTGTAGCGCCTAGGGGTAAGCGTACGTTACGTATATTATTTAAGGGTTTCCTTCGTCTGGGATGCAAGTACTGTATTTGGTGGTTGAGAGCATCCGCACGTGGCGGTGGTCTGGTGTCGACGCTGGCTTGCATACCGCCGTGATTGTTCTGATTTATTTTGTTCCGTTGTTTTCGTCCTTGGGGATACTGGAAAATGTTGGGGCAGGGAAACTGAGGCAGGGTCTCAACGAGTTGCTAAGCTGCCTCTACGAGTGGGTGTGGTTGGAGCGGCTGAGTCATTTTATTTCGCCGTTGTTCTTATTTCCATAGTTTTGAACCTCGATTTCCTGTGAGGATGTTTATTGTGAGCGTGCCAGCACTGTATGGTGGCGCTATGATTTTGATGTGTATGGGCACAATTCGACCGTATTTTTGAGTTCGGCGACTGCTGTCAAACTTGTCCGTGGTGGAGTACCCACTTTCCGCTTTAGTAGTGAGGTCGTCGCTGCGTTCCTTTGAAGAAGTAATGCAATGTGTTTTATTCCGTGGAGTTTGGTGGGTTTCGAAGAAATGTGATGGCTATCAAATTATTTTGCATCTTGTATATATCGCGTCCACTTTTTGTTCGCGGTGCCTCCTTGCTGGTCGACCCCCCTCCTCGTGATGCCCCATTGAGGCCAAATTTGCTGGTTGGACGGGAGATATACTGTATCATCACAGACTGCCTTGAGAAGCACGTCAAACTGAAATGTTCACCCAAGAGATCATGGAGGAAGCTGGGGCTGCTCGTAGACGTGTTTTTTGCCCTCACGCCGAGTAAAGATGCCATTTCACACGAAGCGGGGGGGCTATACGCACCAATGAATGGGTGATGCGCCCCCACGCGCGAGACACCAGCGGGTGCTAAAAGGTACGGCTGCTGTAGATTGTTGTTTGAAATGGGGATACCTTCATGTCCACGATTTGCTTTGGGGAGAACTGACTCCTCTGCTGCGTTGTTTCATTTTTTTTTTGTTGATTGCGGTCTACTTCATTCAGAGTAAATGAGAGGTATATCACGTGCATGTAGGTGACAAAAAATCGTCAAGTCTCTATTCTCCTCAAACTCGCTGAACTCAACATTCACATCTATCTTCCGATCGACTGACTCAGCGTTCATTTTTCATCAAGGAGCAGCTTACGCACACCGCGCCACCTGTGATGCTATCTTGTTGCTCGACATGCGATATGTTCGGGATTTTGACTATATTGTTGTAGACAACGTCGAAGCTGCCAACGATGAGTGATTCCACGAATGAGGAAAATGAACGAAATGGCTGTGGGTATATCTCGAATGGGTATAGTCTTTCTGTGTGTGTATTTATTATTTTTCCTACAGTGAAATGGATATCCGCGTATCCGCGTATCCGCATGGAACTTGTATTGAAAAATGCGGCGCAATTTCGCTGATGCTGTATCTGCGGAGCCCCCATGTCTCATGTCTGGCGTTCGGCTGTCGGACGTCGGACACACTGCTGTCTCTCTTGCTCTCTGTCATTGCATAGTCATGGCCACCCGAGGGGTATTCCAGCTGCGCAAGCTGACGCTCAAGTACTGCGACCACAGTGGAAGCAGTAAGGGCGCACGAGAGTTCATCCGGCACCGGATTGTTGAGTTTGCAAACAACACGCCTGCGGCTGAGGTTGTGACCGAGCTGCGACCAGGGAAGCACCCTTACATCATGGGGGACTATGTTACGGGCGAGGTCAAGACAATAGGCATCAAGAACATTGCCCCAGGAGAAATTATGGATTACGCCATGATGCTCAGAAATTCTAGTGGTCACAAGGTGAGGCCAAGCCATTTTTTGACCACCGTCTTGCAAGCAGGCTCTGCCGAGCCAGGAGCAGCAGCCGTTCCAGGCGATCCGTACTGCTGTAGCGTACACCCACTGCTGCTGTACAACGACCGTAGTTGACCAACGAGACAAAAACCACGCACCATAATGGAGCGCGGCTTCGCACAGTGTGCTGTATTTCACGCTCCTTTCCCCCGCCAGCCATGGGTTGTGCTGTATCCTGAACTCTGGTAGGGTTGTTGGAGTCCCGACTTGGTTCGAAATCCCGCCGCTTTTTGCAACAGCCAAACGCTGCTTCGGGCTTTCTCCGCCTCACCATCCATGAATATCCCAGAGGTTCAACAGTAGATTCGTGGCAAACTGGGCCGGCCGTGAATATGAACTGTAGGGATCATTAAATGTAGCGAATCGAGACGTTCAACGATCTGAAGGGTTCATTGAGTCTGCCGTTATGCTATGCTACGGATTGCCGATATTGGGGAGTTTCGGAACCGTGTTCGACCAAAATAGATTTAGGTGGAACTTCTAGATTTAGGTGGAAGGGTCTAGTTCTGGGAACGTTCCTCAAAGCGGGGGAACATCGAGCTCCTAAATCTGGAAAGGGGCTTTCAGATTTAGAAAAGTAGAGGCTTGGCGCCGCTTTTTTCTAAATCGAAATCGCTTTCAGGAGACGATATAGATTTAAGGAGGAAGGAGCAAAGAGACCCACCACCACAACAACAACAGCTGTAGTATGGAGCTCCAGGCACCACGGAAGGTGCGGTTGTGTGGGCTCCATCGCTGCCAACGAAGAGAGGAGGTCAGACCTACACCTACCTGGGGGTTGGTTGCTCTGCGTGTGTGTGTGGAAGTGCGGTACGTATGAGGCGTGGAGCATTCCAAGAAAGAAAAAGCACGCGTGCGTGCGTGCGTGTGTTTGATCACCACCTGTCAGTCTGTTTTGTTGTTGCTGCTGCTGGGTTGTTGCTGGGCAAGAGAAGAAGCGACACGAGGAAAAGAGGAAGATCAGACTTGTCTAGACACGGCTCGGCGATGAGCTCTACTATATATATGTAATCGGGGTGTAGTGTGTGTGTGCGTCTGCTCTCTTCTTGTTTGCTTCTTCCTCTCTCTCTCTCTCCTCTCTTTCTCTCTCTCGTGGAAAACGCTCTTTCTCTCGTTCGCACACAGCAACAAAAGAGAAGTGAGGCTCTTTGATCACCCTCCTCCTCACAGATTGCACTGTTGGTGCAGCCCCTCAACTACATGCGTGCGTGGTCTGTGTCAACCTCCTCATCAACCTCCACACCGCCGTGTGTGTGTGTCTGCCGATGTGTGATGTGATGTTTCGATGCAGCAGCAGCTGTCCCTTTTTTTTTTTCTGCCGCCTTTCCGCGCCGGCGTGTTTTCTTGCCGCGTTCAACTCCGTGGTCTCCACAAAATAAAGTTCCGAGAACGTTCGTTACACCTAAATCGAAAAGTTGTTTTCCTAAATCGAGAAGTTGTTCCGAAACTCTCTATTGTAGCGCACCTCCAGAGAAATGCTAAGTGCACATAGCCTAGCGGTCAATCCCAGACTGAAACACTGCAGCTCCCACGTGCTTGCCTTCATTCGGGGGTTGATTTCCTTCTTCACCAACCTTTACCTTGGGTTAGTTACCCGGTCGGTGCCTTGAACAGGCGCACCACTCGCTTCAAAAGGTGGAACCGTTGGCATCATGTGCTTGACGCCGGTCGAGGAAACGGCAGAAAATTGGACATTATCTTGCCTCTCAAAGGGTACTATGTTGATTTATGCGAGCCCACGTTCAGCAACGTCCGGGTACCGCGATGCACCGGGTAGTAGTGTAAGACCTATGGCAATTTCGCCGGAAAGCGTATCAGCGGCACTTATTCGATCGTGCGGCTTAACGCAATGTTTGCTCGAATTTTTCTGTGTTCGCACGGTGCCACCCCTCGTCCGAGCTTCAGTTGTTCGCTTCAGAGGCTGTTCGTACCATTGCTCAAGGTCACGTCCATTGAATGTTTAGGCACCCAACAACGGAAACCATAGAGGTCCTACGTTGAGATGCGTACAACAGTTCCCGCTTCGATACCAACTATGCTTGTCCCCACGCCGGTGCCAGTGTCCCACCAATGCCTATCTTGCCGGATGTGCCCCCCCCCTCTGGTGTTATGTCCGTTGTCTTAGGTTCGAAAATTCAAGAAGCCGGTGGAGAGCCGATATCCCTCGATCCAGGGTGTGTGGGACATCGACGCGCCTCTCCACACGACAGACATTCACGTGGAGCACCACGACTGATCGCTTGGGTTGTTTTTAATAGAATCATTGTTGGTGTATTGGCGTACCGGCTGGCGGGCGGTGCTTAAGAATCTACCACCTCAATAGCGCGTACCTTGTTGCGCACCTTGGTATGTATAGTAGTGAGGCTTGCACCGCCCTGCCCTGGGAGCCCCCAGCTATAGCCGCATGCGTGCAAGCACAGCACGGCGTGATTCCTTCGCTGCGCCCGGCCGTCGCTTGACTTTCCCTTAAGCTTTGACGTGGGCGGTATTTTTTTCGGGAAAGTGTTTCCCGGCAAGCCGATATTTTCACTGGTGGACGTGTAGTCGTGTTAGCGACGCATCTTGCCTCAGGCGACCGTGCTAACCCTCCAAGAAAAGATTATATCGTTGTCTTTTTTAAGGCGTGTGTTGCTGTCATAAAGCGGGACGGTGTGTAGCGACGAGGGTTCCTCGCTCTTCAGGGTGTCTATTCTGTTTTTTCTGTAGGGGCAAAATTTTGAAGCGAACACAGATGTACAACGGGCGTCTACGAATCGGCTGTGTGTGTGTTTGGGGTGGTCACTTGTACAACAATGCATTGCGCCATTGAGAAAGGAAAGAAATGCCGTTATTCTGAACACGCCCTCAACGGCAACCTACTCAGATTGTGAGAATTGGAAACGTCCAAGCAGGACTCATGTTTTGCTTCATGGCAACCAATTGCTGTACCCGTTGTGAAGCAAGTACCACGATGGTGCCAGTACCAGACAGAATAACAACACACACTGAAGGCCCTGAACGCCTGTCTCTACAATCGTTTGGTATCAGTAGTGTGTCAGCTTCTGAGAGCACTACGTGGGCGTTGCGCGATTCGGTGACGAGGAAATACTCAAAAAAATATTTTCGGAACTAAATTGCGCAAGATCGGCTATCGTTTCAAGCACGACAGGCGCGGCACGACTTAGTTTCAACAAACAATGGCGTAGAAATAGGTTCTCTAAGCAGCTGGTGGGATCCCACTTGACCAGCGACCAATGTTTTTTTCCGCACTGTCGAACATTCTTCTTGGTGCGCAGAAGTTTATCATTGAAAGTAAGGTTAGTCGCAATACTCGGTGCCTCAAGCTAAGCGTTACTTCCATCGAGGCCGGTCGAAGCTCGGGTCGATCTTGCTAGTGAACAGACTGGCCGGCGAAGGGCTGGCAGAACGCCTTCGACCTGAGGCTGCAAACCAATTGCCGGAGAGGTGACAAAGCGTGAAATGGGGGATCACAACTACAGCGTGGGTGGGCCTATACTGTAATACGTAGACCTTGTCGTTCGACACCCAGCCCGTTCTTGCGGTATTTGGTGAAACGTCGACGGTGCTTTGGGTGTGGTGCAGTACTTCAACTCCGCTCATACGTCGTCTATTAGGGCGAACTAGGACACCGTATGTTGATCCATTCGGACGTACCCAGCCCCTTCCCGAAGCCAAACAGTGCTCACCGGATACCTTCGGGTACTATTGTCGTTGTGTGCTCCGTGGGGTCGGTTTTGCATGATGAACAGGGGTCTCGACCGGTCAACAGTTTCTGCCCTGCTGTGGCACAGGCAACAACAACTTTCCAACCGGACACGTATAGCGGGCTATCAAGGACTCTACTTGGGGTAGGTAGGACGGCAAGCTCCGTTTTTTTTTATCTCACCGGAGGAGGGCCTTGGTGCTGGACTGGCTGACCTCCCCCTTCGCCCGGCACCGTTCCCGCCGGTCAATCCCTCCGAGGTCGATGGGCGCTGTCCCGGAGAACGGTCGGCGACCAATGATGCGCGTGGCACCGGGTATCGCCCGGCCGTGTCGCCGCCGCTTGCCCTTTGCCCGCGATCTCTCGTCTTCGGCGACGGTACGTGGCTCCGACGAGCCGTTGCCCCCCGCCTACCACTGTCTGCAACACCGCCGCCGCCGCCGCCACTTGAGGCCATGTATCCCCTGAAGCCAGGCGGTATCCTAGACGGGGTGTATTCGGATGCGCGCGCCCTCTGTTGGTACAAGAAGCGCGACGGGTCGGCTGATTTTGCCGCGCCTGCCGAGTTGTTGGCAGTCTTTCGACCGCGCACTGGAGCCGGTGACCCCGAGCGGTATATCGGAGCCCCGCCTGCTCTGCTGCTGGACCGTTGTTGGCCACCACCATCGTGCGGCATCTGCCCGTAGGAGTCTCCTGATTGTCTGCGTGACGGCACGCTGCCGCCACCGCGATTGTCCGTCGATCCCGGGTAACCGTACGTCCCCGAAGAGCCCTTCGCGTGGCCTTGCCTTCCTCGTGGTGCCGGGTTTGCCCATCGAAGGTCGTCGCTACCCCCACCGCCGCCGCCATCGCCATCCCGCCCATCACTACTGCTGCTACCCCGTCTCCGTGATGGAAGAGGGAGAGTACCAGCTTTCGGCGGCAAAATTCCGGTTGTCTTGGCGCGAGAAGTGGGAGCCATGCTTGAAGGGGTACGTTGGCTCCCGTGGGGACGTACGTGGTCTGTATTCACGGAACCAACACCGACATCCCGGTCGTTTGGCAGAGCGGCGGGCGACCCCGCGCCTCGTAACCGGGAAGAGTCTTCTGCCGTTTGAGACGTGCGTATTTCTCGAGGCAAGGATCCGATATTGCTGCTTCTGTATCCGGACTGGTGTGTTTTGGCTCCGCGTCGCTGTGAAAAAGTACAGCGTCGGTCAGCACAAGAGGCAGCATGTAGCAATGAATGGTCCACGAGATATCCCTTGCTTTGTGTGGCCTCATGGTGGACTTCCCGTGAGGTTGCCATGGAAACCCTAGCACAAATCTGTCGGCGTGTGCTAATCCCGTATGAGTAGGCAAAGGAAGCACTGCATCTGAACCCTTTGTTGTGTCCGCCCCCCCATGCCCCAATGAGCACAACCCCTTCCTACTCTACGACAACCGAAATATAAGACTCGGGGTTTTTGATCGCCCTTCGTTGTGCCACATCAACCACAGCCTCCACCCGCTCACCTCAGCATCGATCGCTTCGCTAGAAGATTTCAGCGCTAGGCGGCTCTGTTCAGTGGAGGAATACGCACCCCCCTCTCTTCCTCCTCCTCCTCCTCCGTTTCTCAAAGTCGCTTGGGCCTCTCTCTGACCGCCACCACTGCTCCCCACAGACAACCCATGAGCCCGAGAACTGGGACGGATGCTGCTGCTGCTGCCGCCGCCGCTGCCCCCCCCCCCACCATGTGCCGCCGCTCCCAAGCGCCCCCCCCGATCACCAGCGGTGACGTTCATCTGTACGATCGAACCAGACGGCATGAGGCCGTGAGCCGGATACCCCTGGTTTGCTGCGCCAACGGAGCTAGACGCGGGCGCCCGAGGCGGCCCTTCCCCGAAGGAGGAGGCGCAGTTGATCGCGGGGCTACCACCGCCACCACGTGTTCTTTCCTCTTCCGCGGCATCGGCGGGGCCGGGGCTTTTGCTGTCGCTTTCGGGGCCATCGGGCCGCTGTAGCGGAGCACTGTTCGGGCGTTTCTGAGGGAATATGGGGCCTGCGTCCGACGAGCTTTGCCTGCGGTCTCCCTGGGGTGCATTTCACGGTTAAGTTAAGTATGCGGTAAGTTGCGTATCAGCTTCGAGATAGTTGCGCTCCATCTGTACGTTCCTCCACCAACGCGCTATACCCGGGTGGCCCCGCCAGAGCAGAGAGACAACCAAAACCAACAGCAGCTGGGGGGCTTCATCGAGCCACAAGCTTCGTTTATCACGCAAGGGGTTCGTCGCGAGACGCAAAACAGTATCTTGAACTACACCTGGCCGAGATCCTGCTGAGGCCGAGGCGAAGGCAGCCTCCTCTGCTGGGGGTTCGGTGCCTGCGCGAGTTGCTGCAGGGTTCCTCCGCCGACGTCGGTCGCCCCCGGGTACGGCCTCGACCCCTTCTTTTCCCATCTGCCGGGCCCCTGTCGGTACGCCTCATCCCCCGCCGCCACTGGGGAGTCGCCTCCTGGCTCCGTTCTCCGCTGACGGCCTGAGCCGAAACCGTCACTTCGGATGTCGTCTGAACCCCAACCGGGCCCCGGGGGGTCGTCGATGGGCGTCTTCCCGTGCTTTGGTGCTGGTCTCCCCACCGGCGCTTTCGGCAGGCGTATGTTGTCTTGCTGTGCAGCGGGGTTCGCCGTCGTCCCTGTTGTTCTACTACAAGGGATCGTTCTTTGCAGGCTCCCCTCGCTCCCGCCTCTCCGCAGCTGGTTCTTGGTGTGTCCTAGCCCTACAGCGGAAGTCTCGGTGGTCGCTACAGAAACCCCTTTTTCGTCTACGTCAATCTTGGTGCCGGTATGCCTATTGGTCGGTAGCGGATTGGACGTGGCGCGGAGTGTAGACGCCTTGGCCTTTTCGATGTACCTCGCCGTAGTCTCCAGCAGGTTCGGTTCTGTCTTGCCTCTGGAATCATCCGCTCGACCTCTTCCGTTGTCACCCCCCGTTTTCTTTGCCCCAGCAGAATCAGCACCGCCGCCGCCGCCGGTGCTGCCGTCCCAAGCTTGCCTTTCCTCTTTCCTTCCTGCCGCCACGGGACCTCGGCCCTCTCGAACGCCGCGTTCGAGCGACGCCCCCTGGTGGTTGTGCTTTGGAGTGCGGTCGGCGGGCGGTGCTGCATAATTGGAAGAGGAGAAATCATTCTGCGGGGCCACCGAAGAGGAGACTTGCGCCGAACGGTGGTCGGACCTGCCCGGTTCATTGCCGGCAGTCGAAATCGTGTCGGTTTCGTCGTCGCCCTCGGCGGCGCAGGAGTTGCCCATCCCGTCCTCGAGCAAAAGCGCGCCGGGGCCTTGCGAGTGACCGGCGCTCGATAGCTCCCCGCTGCTGGCAGTCTCGTGCCCGGAGAGACCGCTGCCCGCGGTGCCGCCGTCGCCGCGGCTCCAGCGGTCGCTCAAGTCTTCCACGACAACCTCCTTGTCGGCTTCAGCCCTGCCCACCGTGCGCGTCGATGATGACGGCGATGAGGATATCGGTACCAGGGCCGCGCCGCCTGCGCCCTCTGCACCCGAGACAGCGGCGGGGGTATCGCCGCTTTGCAAGGGTACCCCAACCTCACGCGACTCAGGTTGGGTGGATCGAGGGAGTGTCTGGCCTCCACCAATCACCAAGTTTAATTCTGTTGTGCCCGCCTTTTTCAAGATTCCGACCGGTGCCGTTGTCGTCGAAGTCGCGGTCTTGTTACCTCTCGACAGGGCGTGATATGAGCTGTTTCCCGGGCGTTCCGGGGTTGCACGGCCTGTCCTGGGTGACACGGGTATCATGTGCTGGTGGCGACGATCCTTCGTTCGTCCCAGACGGCCAGCGGCCGTCAACTTGTCGACGCGGGGCCGGTCAATCCAGTGCAGCTCCTTTGGGACGTGATCTTCGTAGTCTGCCCGGCCCGGCGGCAACGCGTCGATCTGCGGCTGGCTGTTGAGAAACGAATTCACGAGCACGATCTCTTCTTCTTGGACTTCTGTGAGCTGCCCCAGGGACGGGAACGCTGACGCCGCTCCGCCGAAGCACCCAGCGGCAGCATCGGTGATGACGGTGGTGATGCCGTTCTTCTCTCGCGACGCGGCGGACGGGGCGGGGAACTCCGACTGTCCCCCCGCCTTGAAGCCTTGGTTGCGCGGCTGTCTGACCTGTTCTCTATCAGGGACATGGCCTGGGACAAGCGGTATCCATTGGTCATGCCGTATGCGTTCGTCCTCTGTAGGCTTCTTGCTCTGGCCGTACCACCGCTCGTAGAGCCTCAAGTCCAACCGATAAAGCTGCTCGCCAAGACAGAAGGCATCGACCGGCGATCACAAAGGGTGCGGAGCGGCATCAGAGCATTGTCTCTACCGATAAAGTGTCACATCTGAAGTAAGTAAGGCGCATTGAACCGTTCTGCCTACAACTTAGGAAAAATTCTGATATTGCGTCTATTCGCACTACTCCTACGAGTCACCAACACGTTCGAATCATTTGGCGGATGAGGGAACGATGGTGACGATATTTTTTCAACTCTCCGAAGGATAACATATGGCCTGGAGGCTGCTGCGCCACAGGTACGGTGCAGGTCAGTGAGTATCGCACCATCATGCCTTTACCTGTTGGACGAATCCGGGGTTCGGAGCGGCGTCCGGCCGCTTGTTGCACAGGAAGTCGAGCGCCTTCTCGAAACTCCAACGATATCTGAACATAAGGTACGCGGATACACAGGCTATACATCTGCCTCTGCCATCAAGCGAGTGCACAAGAACGCTGTCCCCCTTTTCCGCGGCCTCGTCAATGAAGTTCGTGATCTGGCGGACAAAGGCACGGTGTTCGTACACCGAAGCGGGGAAATATGTCGTTCAGGGTAGAGTCTGCACGTCTACATATTATAATAGTAATCGTTAGCCTGACGATGTTGCTGATACCTCACGCTCTACTTGTACTACATGAAAATGTAAAGTAGTAGGGATAGACCTTGAGGCCAGCTACGTTTTCTACGATTTAAATTCATCTCACACGTACAACGTTGATATGTTATCAGGCGCGGGAATCACAGCAGATTTTGGCGTGTGTGTCCGATGATTGATCATGGAGAATCTTCTTTCCTGCAGAAGCAGTATCACTAGGCCAGATTCACGATATCGAAGATTCGTATGTATGTGTACATGTATTGCATCCTGTAGACTAGATTAAGTTGGTGTATTGTATGTAGACTATACACCAGCGTGTGCAGCAGCAGTAGTTCACAACCCTGCGATATCAACAAAAGGTATACTGCTGTACATATCTCCCACCTGCTCGATGACAACGTTTCCTCCATCGAAGAGAGTACAGTCCGGATCTGATGTCCATGGGAACGTGAGGTAGTGGAGGCCGTGCTGCTCCCACAAGTTTGGCAGCTGGCGGCCCGCACAGTTGATAACGAACGTAATCTTATTCAACTCGATGAATTCAGGATCCTGTGATGCCTCCGCGTCTCCGATGAAGAGCCCGTCGTTGATTTTCGTCGCCATGGCCTCTTTTGATACTCACACTCTTGATGTTTCCGTACTACGGCCTGGACAACCAGGAGCTGCTGGCAGAAGAATGGATTGCAATACTGAGGTCGTTGAAGTGGATACCTTCAGGATCTGTGACCCCTGCAACAACAGCGGTAACGTACCAAGAGAAAAACAGGAGATTGGGCACGCTGCGCCTGATACCGCTCTTTCTAGTCTACAGCTACGGATGATTGTACACACTCTTTGTGGTGACAAGCACAGGACCCCCGCATACGAAATCGCTATAGATCTAATGAAGAGAACACACAGCAGTAACATGTGGGTCGAGATTTTACCCGCGTGTCGCGTGTCGTTGGTTCGTCGTGCTCGACGTCGGCCGGCAATAAAAAAGTGAAACCGTGGACCAAACACGCCGCACAAACCAATCTATTCCGCCGCATTCCGTCATCCCATCGCCCCCGGGAACCAGGGCTGGGACAAGCACAGGAAAATAGGGCAAAATAGCGAGGGAATAGGAGCATGTGGAACGCGGTGTGGGTACTCCTGCTCATCACATACCCACCGGTGCTCTCCTTCTCGTTTGCTGGGGTTGCACTCCAAAGCAACAAGGTACGACACCGCGTTCGTTCGGATTTTTTATTTCATGTGCATCGATAGGTTGAACGAGATTCCTGCACATGGGTTCCAACAATATTCCAATACAAAGCGCATGTTTCATACATATAGCGCGGTGCGAGAGTGGCGACTGCTGTTACACGGGGACAAGGCCACCGGAATTCCAGAGTCGCATCGTTGCGTTAGTTATTGGTCGCATTGGATTGTGGTCGGGCCGGCGACTTGTATGCAAAAGGTACCAATTGCTGGCACACAGCACCACCGGCTCCCACCGCCCGCCTGCAGAGAAACACCTGATTCGGAGCGAGGCTCCAAGCCGTACAGCAGTGTCTCAACGAGTGGGCACAGGCTACATAGCTACGGCATCGTATGGAATTTAGTGTGGTGCCCGCGACTGACCCCATTATCTACGCCAATGTCTTATTTATCTTCAACAATTTGAGCCTCGGTTTCTGTGAAGCACGCTGCACCATGTGCATTGTAGAGCAAGTATGTAGTTCCGCACCACAACCGCTTGGATACGCCATTGTTCGAGGGTTCTTGACTGGCCGACTGAGAAGTGAAACACGCGGAATATTGTCGAACGGCTTAGTTCTGTGCTGCTCGCCCGCCGTCCGATCAGCGCGAAAAAGCGCGTGCGCCTATCTATACTCTTCACGCCCCCCGTGACACTCTTCAAGCACCCTTTGTGTGTGTGCCTGGACGGAAACACAGCTTGGCCCGATCGTTCTCAGTATGACGAGGGCTGTGTCGGGTTGACCCTTACCACGTGTTGTACCTCGAGGGGGACAACGGCGCATACTCGCATCCTGTACCTGAGTGCGGTACGATTCACGATACACACAAGGGCTCGGCGTAAAACTGTGACAAAAAACCACACCAAAACAGATTTCGCCTTCCTCCAACGAATACAATATGTAGGCGAGATCTATTATTGAGAAAATATACACCATACGTAACACACACAGAAAGACCAGCCGTTCTACATTTTATTGGCAGGCAGCGATTCGGAGAGCGGCGCGGAGGGTTTCGGTCGAGACGGCCGCGTCGTCTGCGGAGGCCGGGCCGCCTCCGGCAATCGGCGGCGATGGTCCTGCGAATGACGGGAGCGCGGCGGCGGAGCTCGTGACCTCGCTGCTGGGGAAGATCGAGGGCACGAACAGGGGAGTGGACTGCACGCCCGAACAACAGAAGGAAATTGATGGAATCATTGACCAGGTCTGCCTATGCATACGATCCGTCAGCCGGCGGCAGCTTGTTTTTCGTCTGCTGCGTCTGAATCGTATATTGGTGCAACCTAAAGGGAGCAGTTGAGGAACGAGCAGAGTCAGGACTCCCTCCCACTCGGGTGCCACCTCGAACGCCTTCCCACTTTGTTTTCCTCGTTGCTACCTACGGCAGTGTCTGATTGCACCTAACACAGGTTCGTGTTTAAAACCGGATGTCGTGGTTCGATGTATTCAGAGCCGAGAGTGCTTGAATGGTGGCACGTGAATGCCATCGCCTGAAAACGTGTCCGTCCACGCCTTTTTTTGCTCAACCGACGTGTCTGAGATAGGTGCATGGAATGGGTGTGTTGCATCCTTCGTTCTCTTGGTTGTTTATTTGGTAGGCGACGCATCATCAGGGGTAAGCCTGCTGCTCGCTGTCCCGTCAGCAAATCGATCCCAAGGCTGCTAGTCCCACCTGTGCCACGGCGCAACCACGGTGCCCCCCTGTACTGCCGACAGCTCAACACCTTGGGCGCGGACAAAGACTGGTTGAACGACAGCCGCGTCTTCGGCAACTACAACGTCGCGTACGTGAGCTCTGGCCCGTCGCAGCGGGGCAATCCAGCGGGAGGCCGTTGGAGGGGCCGAGTAGGCCGCTCTCTATTCAGGCAAGCGTCCCCCTCCCACGCCCTACCGTTGTATCCCGCTTTTCTACAAGGGAAAGCTTGCTGGCACCGCGGCAAATGGGTGCATCTGTGTATCTCTTGAAGCTAGTATGGGCGACCAGTAAGCGGGCTTCTGTATGCGCAAATCGAGCCTTTGCGTCTTGTTGAAAAAAGTCTCACTACTCTGACAGCTACAGCCAATTGCTGAGGGTGACTCATGGTGCCAGGAGCAAACCTCGACCTTCGGCATTCATGCACCTCCTTCGCTTCCAGCAAGTGGTAGTGCGCGATCGCACACTTTGCCCTGGCGCAGTGTTTTTTTATGGTATCTGACTGCAGTCATCGCCTTTTGCTGCAGCCGCGTTTGTTTTTCGCCCGGCCCAACCCAACGCAAAAAAAGGGCGTTACAGCTATTTTCAAAAGCCAGTAGCTGCCAACGTGCTTATCAAGATCAACTACCAACATATCACAGCGCGCACGGGACTCGCCCGCCCACCGCAGTCACCCTCGTCGCCCTACCCCTGCTGGTTTGAGCAGGACGGAGGAGATGTTTCAGCACCTCGTGGAGCCTACCACGGCGGTGAACATGGTCGTCTTCAGGGCGTTCGGACTGCTCAAGGGGTGCGTCACCTTGCGAGGCGACTTTAAGGTGCGCCGACCCTTTTTCGCTAACATGGTCGTGTTCTGGTTCAGGAAACGCCCCGACACATCGACACGTTTGCATTCGGTTCAGAAGCAAACAAAGAGGGAACATACGGCGGTGTTGTCTACAGCGATGAATGGCACCGTGGAGTATCACACTGTTTTTAGCATTCTGCAAGAGGTAAAGGTGCCGTTAGTTGAAGGATGAGAAGACGCGCGCCTGACCTCGGGGCTGCATCCCCAACAATCTTGCCCGTCGACAGAGGAAAGCACTCATCCTTTCCATCGTTCTCGGTTTCATTGTCGAGGATCCGCCTGAAAAGCGTGTGCTGCCGGCGGTATTGTGAACGTGGTGTTGTGTGGGGTGCTGCTTGCTTACCACTTGGTTGGTTTGTTGCGTCTAGCTGCGATATTGTGCATGCGGTGTGGCATGGTGATGTGTGGTTCTTGCTACCTTTTGCGTTTGTTTGTTGCATTGAGCTGCTGCTGGCGCGCCATCTCGAAGCGGCTGTATGCATGTGTGGTACCACGTTGCTGCCGCCCGGGCCGTTGTCTACTACGTTCGTCTCCACCAGGCGTGAATGTGTATCACAGAGAATACACACCGCCAAAGGGAGCCATCTGTCACTGAACACTCACCGCCGACGAAGAAGTCACCGTTCGAACAACGTGACCGCCCATGGCCACCATGCTCATTTAGGAAAAGCTGCGCGTTTCATGTAAGCTTGTTTGGTCCGCTGACTGCCCGTTGTGCTGCGCCCGACTTATGGCGGCGTGTGCATACGTACGTAGGCAATTCCGGACAAACCTAACTTTGTCAAGGCTTCCTTCGGGCCGCCGCTGATAAACTTCCTGGGAAAACGCGGCCTGACGATTCGGTCGGGGCCCAAGAGCAGCGTAAGGCTTGCGGCAACCTACGTGGATGAGAGGGTGAGTGCTCGCTTATTGGGCGGGGGGGGGGGGGGCGTACTCATTTGTTGCTTGCCGTAGTCATTTGACCATTGACCACGCATCCCTTTCGAGACGGAGCACCGTTCCTACCCCTACTAGAGACACCACCAACATTTGGGAGCTCTTTACGTTTCTGCCACAAACTCCATAAAAAT